CCAACTGTAGTACACACCATGTCTTAGAACAATCTTCATTTGTTGAGTACACAAATACCTAAACCAACTGTAGTACACACCATGTCTGGGAACAACCTTCACCTGGTGAGTACACAAATACCTAAACCAACTGTAGTACACACCATGTCTTAGAACAATCTTCATTTGTTGAGTACACAAATACCTATACCAACTGTAGTAAACACCATGTCTGGGAACAACCTTCAACTGGTGAGTATACAAATACCTATACCAACTGTAGTAAACACCATGCCTGGGGACAACCTTCAGCTGGTGAGTACACACATACCTATACCAACTGTAGTAAACACCATGCCTGGGGACAACCTTCAGCTGGTGAGTACACACATACCTATACCAACTGTAGTAAACACCATGTCTGGGAACAACCTTTAACTGGTAAGTATACAAATACCTATTCCAACTGTAGTAAACACTATGTTTTGGAACAACCTTCACCTGATGAGTATATAGATACCAATACCAACTGTAGTAAACACCATGTCTGGGAACGACCTTCACCTGGTGAGTATACAAATACCTATACCAACTGTAGTAAACACCATGTCTGGGGACAACCTTCACCTGATGAGTATATAGATACCAATACCAACTGTGGTAAACACCATGTCTGGGAACAACCTTCACCTGGTAAGTATACAAATACCTATACCAACTGTAGTAAACACCATGTCTGGGGACAACCTTCACCTGGTAAGTATACAAATACCTATACCAACTGTAGTAAACACTATGTCTTAGAACAACCTTCACCTGATGAGTATACAGATACCTATACCAACTGTAGTACACACCATGTCTTGGAACAACCTTTAGCTGGTGAGTATACAAATACCTATACGAACTGTAGTAAACACCATGTCTTAGAACAACCTTCACCTGGTGAGTATACAAATACCTATACCAACTGTAGTACACACCATGTCTGGGAACAACCTTCGCGTGGTGAGCATACAAATACCTATACCAACTGTAGTACACCCCATGTCTGGGAACAACCTTCACCTGGTAAGTATGCTAATACCTATACCAACTGCAGTACACCCCATGTCTGGGAACAACCTTCACCTGGTAAGTATACAAATACCTATACCAACTGTAGTACACAACATGTCTGGAGACAACCTTCAACTGGTTAGTACACAAATACCTATACTAACTGTAGTACACACAAAGTCTGGGAACAAATTTCACCTGGTGAGTACACAAATACCTATACCAACTGTAGTGCACACCATGTCTTAGAACAATCTTCATTTGTTGAGTACACAAATACCTAAACCAACTGTATTACACACCATGTCTCGGAACAACCTTCACCTGGTGAGTACACAAATACCTAAACCAACTGTAGTACACACCATGTCTTAGAACAATCTTCATTTGTTGAGTACAGAAATACCTATACCAACTGTAGTACACCTCATGTCTGGGAACAACCTTCACCTGGTAAGTATGCTAATACCTATACCAACTGTAGTACACCCCATGTCTGGGAACAACCTTCACCTGGTAAGTATACAAATACCTATACCAACTGTAGTAAACACCATGTCTGGGAACAACCTTCAACTGGTGAGTACACAAATACCTATACCAACTGTAGTAAACACCTTGCCTGGGGACAATCTTCAGCTCGTGAGTACACACATACGTATACCAACTGTAGTAAACACCATGCCTGGGGACAACCTTCAGCTGGTGAGTACACAAATACCTATACCAACTGTAGTAAACACCATGTCTGGGAACAACCTTCAACTGGTGAGTACACAAATACCTATACCAACTGTTGTAAACACCATGTCTGGGGACAACCTTTAACTGGTGAGTACAAAAATACCTATACCAACTGTAGTTCACACCATGTCTTAGAACAACCTTCGCCTGGTGAGTATTCAAATAGCTATACCAACTGTATTAAACACTATGTCTTAGAACAACTTTCACCTGATGAGTATACAGATACCTATACCAAATGTAGTAAACACCATGTCTGGGAACAACCTTCACCTGGTGAGTACACAAATACCTATACCAACTGTAGTACACACCATGTCTTAGAACAACCTTCGCCTTGTGAGTATACAAATACCTATACCAACTGTAGTACACACCATGTCTTAGAACATCCTTCGCCTGGTGAGTATACAAATACCTATACCAACTGTAGTAAACACCATGTCTTCAAACAACCTTCACCTGATGAGTATACAGATACCTATACCAACTGTAGTACACACCATGTCTTGGAACAACCTTTAACTGCTGAGTATACAAATACCTATACCAACTGTAGTAAACACTATGTCTTAGAACAACCTTCACCTGATGAGTATACAGATACCTATACCAACCGTAGTACACACCATGTCTGGGAACAACCTTCGCCTGGTGAGTACACAAATACCTATACCAACTGTAGTACACACCATGTCTTAGAACAACCTTCGCCTGGTGAGTATACAGATACCTATACCAACCGTAGTACACACCATGTCTGGGAACAACTTTCACCTGGTGAGCATACAAATACCTATACCAACTGTAGTACAACCCTTGTCTGGGAACAACCTTTATCTGGTAAGTATACAAATATCTATACCAACTGTAGTACACACCATGTCTTGGAACAACCTTTAACTGGTAAGTATACAAATACCTATTCCAACTGTAGTAAACACTATCTTTTGGAACAACCTTCACCTGATGAGTATATAGATACCAATACCAACTGTAGTAAACACCATGTCTGGGAACAACCTTCACCTGGTGAGTATACAAATACCTATACCAACTGTGGTAAACACCATGTCTGGGGACAACCTTCACCTTATGAGTATATAAATACCAATACCAACTGTGGTAAACACCATGTCTGGGAACAACCTTCACCTGGTAAGTATACAAATACCTATACCAACTGTAGTAAACACCATGTCTGGGAACAACCTTCACCTGGTAAGTATACAAATACCTATACCAACTGTAGTAAACACTATGTCTTAGAACAACCTTCACCTGATGAGTATACAGATACCTATACCAACCGTAGTACACACCATGTCTGGGAACAACCTTCGCCTGGTGAGTACACAAATACCTATACCAACTGTAGTACACACCATGTCTTAGAACAACCTTCGCCTGGTGAGTATACAAATACCTATACCAACTGTAGTACACACCATGTCTTGGAACAACCTTCGCCTGGTGAGTATACAAATACCTATACCAACTGTAGTAAACACCATGTCTTCAAACAACCTTCACCTGATGAGTATACAGATACCTATACCAACTGTAGTACACAACATGTCTTGGAACAACCTTTAACTGGTGAGTATACAAATACCTATACCAACTGTAGTAAACACTATGTCTTAGAACAACCTTCACCTGATGAGTATACAGATACCTATACCAACCGTAGTACACACCATGTCTGGGAACAACTTTCACCTGGTGAGCATAAAAATACCTATACCAACTGTAGTACACCCCTTGTCTGGGAACAACCTTTATCTGGTAAGTATACAAATATATATACCAACTGTAGTACACACCATGTCTTGGAACAACCTTTAACTGGTAAGTATACAAATACCTATTCCAACTGTAGTAAACACTATCTTTGGGAACAACCTTCACCTGATGAGTATATAGATACCAATACCAACTGTAGTAAACACCATGTCTGGGAACAACCTTCACCTGGTGAGTATACAAATACCTATACCAACTGTAGTAAACACCATGTCTGGGGACAACCTTCACCTGATGAGTATATAAATACCAATACCAACTATGGTAAACAGCATGTCTGGGAACAACCTTCACCTGGTAAGTATACAAATACCTATACCAACTGTAGTAAACACCATGTCTGGGAACAACCTTCACCTGGTAAGTATACAAATACCTATACCAACTGTAGTAAACACTATGTCTTAGAACAACCTTCACTTGATGAGTATACAGATACCTATACCAACTGTAGTACACACCATGTCTTGGAACAACCTTTAACTGGTGAGTATACAAATACCTATACCAACTGTAGTAAACACCATGTCTTAGAACAACCTTCACCTGATGAGTATACAAATACCTATACCAACTGTAGTACACACCATGTCTGGGAACAACCTTCGCCTGGTGAGCATACAAATACCTATACCAACTGTAGTACACCCCATGTCTGGGAACAACCTTCACCTGGTAAGTATGCTAATACCTATACCAACTGTAGTACACCCCATGTCTGGGAACAACCTTCACCTGGTAAGTATACAAATACCTATACCAACTGTAGTACACACCATGTCTGGGGACAACCTTTAACTGGTTAGTACACAAATACCTATACCAACTGTAGTACACACAAAGTCTGGGAACAAATTTCACCTGGTGAGTACACAAATACCTATACCAACTGTAGTACACACCATGTCTTAGAACAATCTTCATTTGTTGAGTACACAAATACCTAAACCAACTGTAGTACACACCATGTCTGGGAACAACCTTCACCTGGTGACTACACAAATACCTAAACCAACTGTAGTAAACACCATGTCTGGAACAACCTTCACCTGGTGAGTACACAAATACTAATACCAACTGTATTAAACACCATGTCTTGGAACAAATCTTCACCTGGTGAGTGTACAAATACCTATACTAACTCTAGTAAACACCATATCTGGGGACGACCTTCACCAAAATACCTATACCAACCGTAGTAAACACACAGCATACGGATATAGTGCAGACACACCATAGAATTATGATCGGGGTCAAACTTGGAATTGAATCGTCGACCATAAAGCGTTCTGGCACACCTTCGTGTCTCCACGGTTCAGCTGGTTCCCCCTCTGAGTATGCCATGGATCTATGAGGAATCATTATAACTGGAAATGAAAAACATATGCATTTGTCGTTGTGTAATGTTTCAGTGTGGGCGTGTTCCGAAATGACAAGGTTGAGATCATCCCCGATGAACACGGGAACAGGATCACCCCCTCCTATGTGGCATTCACTCCGGATGGGGAGACCCTGATCGGATACGCAGCCAGGAACCAACTGACCACCAACCCAGAGAACACCGTCTTTGACGTCAAGCGTCTGATTGGCCGCACCTGGGAAAACCCTTCCGTGCAGCGGGACATACAACGATATCCTTTCAAGGCGGGTTGAATTTGTAACTATGTTTATTTATTTATCTGGTACTGCTATAAAGATTTGAATCAAATTTTCAAAAATAGAAAGTTGGAAAAAAGCTATCCAACGATATCCTTTCAAGGTGAGCGGTATTGACACTAACATTTGTGTATTAATCTGGTACTTCTCAGTTGTTTATTAATCTGGCACTTTTGTAAAGGACCCGTGAAGATCCGGGGTAGTATAGGTCTTCAGCAAACCATGCATGACGTAAAAGGCGGCTTTGCTTGTCGTAAGAGGTGATCAACGAGATCGGGTGGTCAGGCTCGCTGACTTCGTATCCCAATTGCGTGGATCGATGCTCATGATGTGAATCACTGGATTGTCTGGTCCAGACTCGATTATTTATAGACCACCGTCACATAGCTGGAATATTGCTGGAATATTAAACAACAAACAACAACAACAACAACGACAACTTCTATAAAGAGCAGTGTCAATATTACTTTAAGCATCAAAAGATGTTCGTGTGTCCCATTTTCGCTCATACATTAGCCAGTTTAATCTTCACAGATGGTTACTAATTCGGATGGGGATTTTTCAAGCAAATACAAGCACTGAAAAGGCGTTTTATAGCGTGTATATTTGTCAGAAAAGAAGAAGGAAATCCGGTTAACGTTTGGCTAAAAGACAAGGTATTTATCAACATATTTATTAATCAGGTAATAAACGAGGACAACAAGCCGCACATCCAAGTGAGAGTTGGGTCAGAGGACAAGGTGTTCGCTCCCGAGGAGATCTCGGCGATGATGTTGTCGAAGATGAAGGAGATAGCAGAGACGTACCTGACCCAGAACGTCACCAATGCTGTTGTCACCGTCCCCGCCTACTTCAATGACGCCCAGAGGATGGCAACCAAAGACGCCGGCACCATCGCTGGGCTGAACATTCTACGTCTAATCAATGAACCGTTTGTGTCTTGATGTCGCCTATTCTTTACAACCAACTGTTGGTGTTGCAAGTATTGTTATATCGAAATGCACACATTTAACTGCATATGATATACTGACGAACCCTGCCAGGTCATTAATTTTAAAAGATGCAAGGCTCCATCGTCTAAAGTCAATTCCCCCTCATGTTTAGACGTAATTACTGCCTTGTATAAGACTGCAGATTGGCCACTTTAAGGTGCTGCGGTTACTTGTGAAAGTATCGTTCATCCTCACATCACTCAAAGTCTTCTCTCGAGTGTCACAACAATAAACACAACAATAAAACACACTTTGTACAATATTTGACAAAAAAACGCAAGGTCACACATTTGGTTCAAGGATACAATTAGGATGAATGGATGGATGGATGATGATGGATGATGATTGATGATGGTGGTGGTAACATAAACTGTATTTTGTAGAATTGCTGCCTCAGTAGCGTACGGCCTTGACAAGTCTGACGGTGAAAAGAATATCCTTGTGTTTGACTTGGGAGTGGGGACGTTTGACGTGTCAATCGTCATCACCGACTACGGCGTGTTTGAAGTTGTGGCCACTAAAGGAGACACACATTTAGGTAAGCATGTGGACAGTGTAGATGTGGACATGTAGGTCACAAATGACCTCATCCTACTGTTTTCACTGCGGGTTTACCATGTATTCATGAAGTGAACGGAGACACACATCTAGGTAAGTTGTATATCTAAATCTCATCCTACTGTTGCACCACTTGTCTAGTGATGCCAGGTATGCATAAAGTGAACGGAGACACACATCAAGGTATATTTCTCTGGAAAAACAAACTTTAAGAAACTACGACTTTTCTGAAGTCAGTTGAAGTCAGATCGAATTTACCAGATACCTACCACATAACGAGTGCCCGTTACATTCATACATGCTGCTGTATCGATCAGATGTTCTTCCTGTGCTGGCTCTGGAGATATTGTTCTTTTTTTCCGAGGAATGTTTGCAAATACACTGAACATACCTGACATAACATTCAGCTCCAGTTAAATATCAATACGATTTATGTGTGAGTGAAAACAGCTGTAAATTTATTCTTCAACGGAATCAACAGACACATATTATTCAATCAATGAATAACACAACATTTGAAAAAACACACTATATTGTCGTATTTTATTTATATAATTTAATCTCTTTGAAAGTCCATGCATTCTCTTGTAGGTGGTCAAGACATCGACCAGAGACTGATGGAGTTCTTTATCAAACAATACAAGAAGAGGACGAGTCAGGACCTACGGGAGGACATTGGGGCCATCCAGAAACTGCGTCGTGAGGTGGAGAAGGCGAAGAGAGCTCTGTCCTCCCAGCATCAGACCAGGGTGGAGATCGAGTCACTCATGGGCGGCCATGATTTCTCTGAAGTCCTCACGAGAGCCAAGCTGGAGGAACTTAACACAGTACGTATACACATTTTATAAATATAAATCATGAACCTTCAAAAACGAAAATAAAGAAAGTTAATTCCCAAGAACTAAGATGTTAACCCAAGTCTTAAATGATGCTGCATTGTCATATCATAAGCGTTCTATTACTGTAACCTTTTTCTTTTGTCAGGACTTGTTTAAATCAACTTTAAGTTACATGCAGTTCGCTTTGAATGAGGCAGATTTGAACAGGACGGACATCCATGAAATCATAATGGTCGGAGAATCAACTGAGATACCCAAGATTCAGCAACTTGTAAAGGAGTTCTTTGACGGGAAGGTAAGAGCAACTTGATCTCGGGAATATAATAACCTGTTAATTGTCAGTTGAATTCAATAAAATAAAATATACAGTATTGTGAAATGTAAAATTCATATACACTGACTTTGCCTGAACAGGCTTTTGTAGCTGTACGTTACTCAGGTTCAGGTACTGGGTAGGTGATGAGATGCTGGCACCTGGTGTTGAGGTGGAGCCTTCACAGCAGAGTGGGGTTGATAGAGTAAATTCTTGAAGCTCATGGTCAGTTCCAAGAGGGGCGGTCGGGTAGCCTAGTGGTTAAGCGTTCGCTCGTCACGCTGAAGACCCGGGTTCGATTCCCGACATGGGTACATTTCTGGTGTCCCCCGACGTGATATTGCTGGAATATTGCTAAAAGCGGCGTAAAACCATACTCACTCACTCACTCAGTTCCAAGAAGTCTCACACGATCACACCCTGGCTGACTACCTCTGTTATGGTACTGGGTAGGTGATGAGACGCGGGCACCTGGTGTTCAGGTAGAACCTTCACAGCAGAGTGGGGTTGATAGAGTAAATACTTGAAGCTCATGGTCAGTTCAATGACGTCTCACCTGACCGTACCCAGGCTGACAACCATGGATTCCAATCACTAAGGTAGAGGATCGAGAACAACTCGATCACTGAATGATCTTTATGATCTGAAAAGGATTACATAGTACAACATGATTAAAGGATATAAGGCCGTGTGTCGATCACCTTGCATACTGTATAACTTCCCCCTCAACCCACATTGACATATCCGTTATGTGTACTGCTGACATGTCCGTTATGTGTACTGTTGACATATCTGTTATGTGTACTGTTGACATATCCGTTATGTGTACTGTTGACATATCCGTTATGTGTACTGTTGACATATCCGTTATGTGTACTGTTGACATATCCGTTAGGTGTACTGTTGACATATCCGGTATCTGTACTGTTGACATGTCCGTTATGTTTACTGTTGACATATCCGCTATGTGTACTGTTGACATATCCGTTAGGTGTACTGTTGACATGTCCGTTATGTGTACTGTTGACATATCCGTTGTATACTGTTGACATATCCGGTATCTGTACTGTTGACATGTCCGTTATGTTTACTGTTGACATATCCGCTATGTGTACTGTTGACATATCCGTTATGTGTACTGTTGACATATCCGTTATGTGTACTGTTGACATGTCCGTTATGTGTACTGTTGACATATCCGTTATGTGTACTGTTGACATATCCGTTTTGTGTACTGTTGACATATCCGTTTTGTGTACTGTTGACATATCCGGTATCTGTACTGTTGACATCCGTTATGTGTACTGTTGACATGTCTGTTTTGTGTACTGTTGACATATCCGGTATCTGTACTGTTGACATATCCGTTTTGTGTACTGTTGACATATCCGTTATCTGTACTGTTGACATGTCCGTTTTGTGTACTGTTGACATATCCGGTATCTGTACTGTTGACATATCCGTTTTGTGTACTGTTGACATATCCGTTTTGTGTACTGTTAATATATCCGTTATGTGTACTGTTGACATATCCGTTATGTGTACTGTTGACATATCCGTTTCATGCGCTGTTGACAGATCCGTTATGTGTACTGTTGCCATATCCGTTACGTGTACTATTGACGTATACGTCATATCTTATGTTGACAAATCCGTATCATGTACTGTTTACATATCCGTTACACATACTGTTGACATATCCGTTTCATGCGCTGTTGACAGATCCGTTATGTGTACTGTTGCCATATCCGTTACGTGTACTATTGACGTATACGTCATATCTTATGTTGACAAATCCGTATCATGTACTGTTTACATATCCGTTACACATACTGTTGACATATCCGTTATGTGTACTGTTGACGTATCCGTTACATGTACTGTTGACCAATCAGTTATGTGTACTGTGTGTCCGTTACACATACTATTGGCGTATCCGTTGTGTACTGATGGCATACTAGTATCCGTTACACACACTGTCGACATATATATTATGTGTACTGATGACATATCCGTTATTTGTACTGATGACATATTCGTTATATGTACTGATGACATATCCGTAATGGGTATTGTTGACATATCCATTACATGTACTGTTGATATATCCGTTATTATGTAACTGCGGGGCCTGCATAGAACCTATGTTTACCTGGGAGTTGATTAAGCCGAAGTCATCTATTGTGGAAATGACATGAACTGGTATAGTTTATAGGAGACATGTGTGGCCTATCGATAGACATCATCTGAAGACGTGAAGTATTCATCATGTTCCCGAGACGATTGCGGGTGTGGCCTACATGTATGTACCTGCGGGTTTGATTAAAGTAGTGGCCTACATGTCTGTACGTGCAGCGTTGATCAAAGTAGTGGCCTACATGTATGTACCTGCGGGGTTGATTAAAGTAGTGGCCTACATGTATGTACCTACGGGGTTGATTAAAGTAGTGGCCTACATGTATGTACCTGCAGCGTTGATTAAAGGAGTGGCCTACATGTATGTACCTGCAGCGTTGATTAAAGTAGTGGCCTACATGTATGTACCTGCAGCGTTGATCAAGGAAGTGGCCTACATGTATTTACCTGCGGGGTTGATTAAGGATGTGGCCTACATGTATGTACCTGCAGCGTTGATCAAAGAAGTGGCCTACATGTATGTACCTGCGAGGTTGATTAAGGATGTGGCCTACATGTATGTACCTGCAGCGTTGATTAAAGTACTAGCCTACATGTATGTACCTGCAGCGTTGATTAAAGTAGTAGCCTACATGTATGTACCTGCGGCGTTGATTAAAGTAGTAGCCTACATGTCTGTACCTGCGGGGTCGATTAAGGATGTGGCCTACATGTATGTACCTGCAGCGTTGATCAAAGAAGTGGCCTACATGTATGTACCTGCGAGGTTGATTAAGGATGTGGCCTACATGTATGTACCTGCAGCGTTGATCAAAGTAGTGGCCTACATGTATGTACCTGCAGCGTTGATCAAAGTAGTGGCCTACATGTATGTACCTGCAGCGTTGTTTAAAGTAGTGGCCTACATGTATGTACCTGCAGCGTTGATCAAAGAAGTGGCCTACATGTATGTACCTGCGGGGTTGATTAAAGTAGTGGCCTACATGTATGTACCTGCAGCGTTGATCAAAGAAGTGGCCTACATGTCTGTACTCGCGGGGTTGATTAAAGTAGTGGCCTACATGTCTTCACCCTCAGGGTCGATTAAGGATTTGGACTACATGTATGTAACAGCGGGGATGATAAAGGCTGTGGTTTATATGGAACTATATACACCTGTAGGGCGACTGAAGATATGAGCTACATTGAATGGAAACTATATGCACATCCGCTTTGATTATTGGTGTGACCTACATGAATGTACCTGCAGGTCGATTAAGGGTGTGACCTAAGTCATCTGTCGTTATAATGGGGGCCTTTATTGTGTAACTATTGTATTCCAGGAACCAATGAGGGGCATCAACCCAGAAGAGGTTATAGCTTACGGAGCTGCTGTTCAGGGAGGAGTGCTGGCTGGGAAAGGCGAAAAGGCCATCCTACTCTGCGGCTTCTGTCCCTTGAGTCTCGGCATTGAGATCATCGGAGGCGTCATGGCAAAGGTCTTCCCTCGCAACACCTTGATCCCCATCAGGAGGACACGGCAGTTCACAACAACACAACACGACCAAGAGGAGGTGACAATTCGGGTCTATGAAGGCGAGAGGATCATGACAAAGAACAACCATTTCCTGGGACAATTTGACTTAACAGGAATCCGGCCTGCGAGAAGTGGGCTTCCTCAGATTAATGTAACCTTTGAAATCGATGTGAATGACATTGTGTACGTAACGGCTGAGGACATAGGAACTGGAAACAAGAACAAAATTGTGATTACGTACAGTGAGGGAGACATGCTTTCCCCTGAATATATTGAGAAAATGATACAAGATGCTGAAGACTTTGCTGAAGAGGACAAGGAGATGATGGAGATTATGGAAGCTGAACTCAGAAGCGGGGATAAATGGACGAACACGAAGGCTGTGAGAAGGAAACCTATCATACAAGACAAAACAGAGAACGTTTCTCATGATGAACTCTAACAGAGAAGTACTGGGAATGGAGGCATGGGGAAACTGGACGTGTGCATAAATGTGTGTGTGTGTGTGTGTGTGTGTGTGTGTGTGTGTGTGTGTGTGTGTGTGTGTGTGTGTGTGTGTGTGTGTGTGTGTGTGTGTGTGTGTGTGTGTGTGTGCTCCCCCATCTTCCTGTATATTCATGTCTTGTGACGTCATAATGGATTCCTACATTCCTACAGTGATAGAGTGATTGGAAGAAAGCTTTTATATGTCCCGGCCCTATATGTATTTATTGAATGATGCTGCCCCAGTGCTCAGTTCAGTGGACGAGTAAGATGGGTTCCAACATTCGGCAACAGTCCTTAGAATAAAAAACCTAATTCGGATCACTTCCCTCAATGAATGTCCAGCCTCTCTGACTTTTTCTGATATCCTTGCATTTCTGACAATGCCAATTGCTATGGAAACTTTATGTCAGTATTTATTTTGCAAGAAGATCCAGAGAACTGGAAAGTCTACCAAAAAAACAAAAACAATTATAATCGTAGTAATTTTAACAGTATGAATAAAGAGCTGAGCTTCCGACGAGCTGTAAGAGAGTATGACGAGTTGTGTCTCTTGTTGCTGTATGTGAGCATAAGAGCATAAGATACGAAAGAATCAAAAGAACTTCTGCTCTGTTGGTATGATAGGAGAGCAATGTATAGTTGCGTGTAATGAAAAAACACATGAAACGTTGGCGATTATTTTTGAAAAGAATATGTAAAGCCAGTGACAACTTGAAATGATGTGTCAAAATATGTTGTACCACCAGCAGACAAAACTCGTCCTTGCAGGGCTTGTCGTTAGGATATCAGTCTGAGCTAGGGTGATGCGTGGATTGTGTGAGATTAAAGCCAATACTTGGACAGTAAACGCACCACGTGATCTGGAAGGGTATTCCCCAGTACGTGATTCCCAGGTACAAAACACAGGTAATACAGGTAGAGTTACTGTGGCAGAATCTGCAGTTAATTACATCAACTGAGTAAGTACCATCATCATAATACACCATTACAACTCTGTATCAGGGCGTACATGGTGGCTGTACTCAGCTGGTACTTTCATGTATAGTTCAGATGGACGAATGGATCGATAAATGATCCTCGTAATCCAAATGATTGTATTCAGTGTTAAACGTACACAGTTATATTTTTACTGTGTATTTAAGATAAGTATTTGATCCTGCGTTACAATGACGATGTCCACACGGTAGTTATGTGCTGTGTCTATAAATAGACAATAACATTAGAAGCTGTCAACCGAACTCGAGGGGTATGGTTTGATTTAACCTGCGCGTGAGCATATGTAAGACTATGTACCCCAAACTGCTAGACACATTGGCTCACACACAGGGTACATCACACCATATGCCCCGAGGGATCGCTTGATAACGAATTCATCTCACCGATATTAATTCATACAGATCCGGAATATATGTCCGAAGTTTAACTGAGTAAACGCTTTGATTCAGCCATTTTGACAGCTTGCAAACGACGCAAACGAACCCATTAACTTCCCTTTACCCAACGCAGTCGTACAAACATCGGTTCATTTCAGCTCAACGATACTTATGCGAGATAAGCAAGTTACCTAAGATGCATTACGATTGATTTCTCAACGGGCTTCACTAGCCGGCAACATGCAAAATAATAAGCCCAACCAATCAGTAGCTTGTACTTTAATCAGTAGCTAGTATTTTAATGTAAGGTGAGTTAAAAATAATTTGTATCAAGCTCTTTCCCAGCTCGTGACACCTTCGTAACCTTCCCGGTATCATCAATGTCACCAGTGTGCAACTGTCATTACAATCATTTGAAGCATTTCCTTTTAACCTCTAATGTAGTGACATTTTTTTATGTGTGTGGGAATGCCATTCTAGAGAGTCGGAAAACAGTTTTACGTTTGACTTGCTATTTCCCAGATGAATTTACGTTTGTTTGTGTAACAGATGGGTTCGAGACAGCTGGGGTAACCGTATCTCTGTGCTGCTCCCTATAAACGATATTGACTTCTCGCTACACACAGCTACTTGCTGTCCCATAGTGTTTTCCTTATAGATCCCCGACCCAAATCTGCATCGCACTTAATATTCTTCAGTAAAATGCATACGTCGTGATCTAATGCAGCAAGATTCACTTCCTACGACAATCTGCCTTCATCTACGACTATATATATTTTAGATCGTGCCAGAACAATAAAAAATAATTATCGAGCTGAAAACCGGACCGATAATTTTTACCCGGCCAAAAATCCGTACTCTCGCGGTGATTCCAACCCGATAAGTACATAGAAAATTGTTAAATGATTATATAAATAACATCTAATATAAATATAAGTACTCCATTTTGAAAGCGATTCGTGTACATTATGTAAAAGTTCTTAGTTCTCCGAATCAGGAATCTATTAGGAAAACACTATTGGACAGTCTGTAGCTCTATGAAGAGAGCACTTGGACCGTACTATTGCTGTGTGGAGCTAACATGTCTGTTAGATTGCTGTTTAATGCCGCACTATTCCAGCTATATGACGGCGGTCTGTAAATAATCGAGTCAAGATCAAATACGATGACATGCATCGATCTGGTTCGCTATCTCTTACGACAAGCATTGGTTGCTGAAGACCTTGACCGTGTGTGTGTGTGTGTGTGTGTGTGTGTGTGTGTGTTAATGTGCTAGCGTTTTCTTTATAGATAACATGGTTTTTTTAATGTTCCTTACTCTAAGTGTATTGGGGAAACATTGTCCCTCTTAACCGGTGCTTATGAGATGACACGACTGAAATGGATAGTTTGTATCCGATATGCTTTCATTCACAGGTTTCCTTTATTCAGTCTTGGGTATTTCCCGGCCGAAGTTATTTGGCTAGAATATTGCTAGCTGCGGCGTTAAACAACATGCACTTTAATGGTTTCCTGAATAGAGATAGCAGACATGAGGCGTTGATGTTCAAAGCGCATGTTATTATGACCCCTTTCAGTGGGTCCGTGACATTCTCATCCCCTTGCTGTGGACATGGTTTCGACGCTGTGTGAGAGTGACTCCTGTCGTACATGTTGTACATAACCAGTGATACTTGTACTGCTTGGCTTGCTTGTAGGACTATCGCCTGTTCCGTGTTTCAATTAACTGATATTAAACTTTAAAAAATATTTTCTTTCATAATGCAGAACAAAATCTTACCTTGCTCATATTCAAGAAATGGAAAATCGGAGTATCATACGAACGTATCTGCTTTGTGGCTCTAATATGGATCAATATATATAAGCATTGCAAATAACCGGAGCTAGTCACATTCTCGTCTGGTGGCAATTCAAAATCATATCCCTAAATCAGTTGTACAGTCAACCGTCGTTCTGTATCAATAACAATCATTGTTTGTTGTTGGGATGCATTTGTCATGCTTGTGTGCAATATCCATTGTCTATTGAGTCAATAGCTTCTCAGCAAACGCATCACGTGATCAGTGAGGGGATTCCCCCTTGCGTATTTCCCAAGTGAAAAACAAGCACTACAGATAGGGCTGCTGCTGTGACGAGTCTGCATTTATTTACGTCAACCGAGTAAGTAAAATCATCCTTGTGCGTCATGGTACTCTCTGTATGCAACTCGTGTCGTCTAGGGTCGGCAAAAGTAACCGTATTTCAGGAACGCCAGGCCGAACACAGGGAAGTATGGAGTCTGTCCTCGAATTCAGCGATTACATGGACGCAGTGGTTCGATACATTGACGATGATAATATAAATGTCCGTGCTCAGAGTAAAAAGTACAGTTTTTTTAGTTTTCTGTGTTTTTCGGACATGTATTTGATCCTTTGTAAAATGACGAAAGCTGTAAAGATAGTTCTTTGCTGTGTCTATAAATAAACTAACTCCACAACTAAAGGGAGATAACTTACCTGTATATCACGTCTAGGTTCGCTGGTTGTCAATATTGAGTCATAAGATAAGAAGGCAGCTACACACTGCCGAACATTTACACGCCTCGACATACATTATTATTTCACAAAACCATATACTTTATACATAAGTATGGATGCAGATATGTAGGTGTGTTTGATTTTGTATGGATGCGGGGCGGTCGGGTAGCCTAGTGGTTAAAGCGTTCGCTCATGCGGGTTCGATTCCCGACATAGGTACATTGTGTGAAGCCCATTTCTGGTGTCCCCCGCCATGATATTGCTGGAATATTGCTAAAAGCGGCGTAAAACCATACTCACTCACTCACTATCATGTTTGAAGGCACGTGCGTGTATGTGTATGTGTGTAAATAGTGATAGTAGCTACTAAACTCTTTGAGATAAGTTTTAATTTTCCACACAATCTTCAAAGTTTCGTCCTGTTGGAATGTTGAGAAGCATTGTAACCGTACCCTATTCATGTCGGATGAGTCCACTTACATGGATAGGGTGGTCAGGCGATGTGATTTGATTCATTGCGTGTCCTCGTGCCCCGATGACGTGGAGTTATGCACGCCCTTTCAGTCACTGGTTTGTCCGTTCCATTCACTTTAATACATTGCTTTAAGTAGGAAGTCAGACAGTAGGATATGACTTAACACCCGTTCAAACAAAGACATTTGACATGTCGCCTTATCAATCTGAGACATTTATATTCCTAGTATCTGCATTCAGTGTCGTCTTGGAAATATGTAGGGTGTAAGTATTGTTCACACTTTCTTGACATGAGACCTCATGCTTGTGTTATACTTATTCCTATCTCCCTGGATATAATGATGAATAGAATATTAGATATAAGGCGAATAACTCCAAGGCATAGAGGGGCGTGTTTAAAGCGTATGGGAATGGTGGTGGGGTAGCCTTGTAGTTAAAGGATTCGCTCCTCACAACGAAAGCACAGGTTCGAATCCCGACCAAGGTACAATGAGTGAAGCCCCTTTTTGGCGTCTCACGCCGTGATATTGCTGGAACAGTGTTAAAAGCAGCGTAAAACTATACTCACTCAGTTACTCAAGGCGCATGACATCATGACCCCTTCAGTGGAGTAGTGAAATTTTAAACTGACCTTCTCAGCTCCCTTGAAGGTTTACAACGGTATCTACCTGTCGGATACTGCCGAGTCGTTCTGTGATATACCCTGGCATTATTGAATACACATAATGTGATAGAATCCCACTATATAGTTCATATAAGAGCGAAGACTAACTATGAAACTTATTAAACCCAATGCAAATTTCATGATGTAAAGCCTATTGTATAAAGAAGTGAGTGAGTGAGTGAAATTTGGTTCAACGCAGTTGTCCACAGTCAGTCATATCACGGCCTATCAGCTTACTCTGTGTGAGGAAAGCCCGAAGTGACTCGATCACAGGTTTACTTCCAGTGTAAGGGAGGCAACTCTACACTGCCAACTGCTGTGTTGTGGACAACTGTTCTTCCTGATCAGTATTGACATCAGTATTGACATCAGTATTGACATCAGTATTGACATCAGTATTGACACAAAAGTAATTAATTGTTTCTACTTTTATTTTTCTAAATACTGATTGATACAAAAGTAACACATTGTTTATCATGTATTCTGCTTAACATCCCAATATCACTGACCTTTATTTCGATGTTATATGGAGGCACTGTGTTAGGACCTTTAAGTAACGGGCTCCATCATTGAGCGAGGGATCGAGGTTGAAAAGAATGAAAGCAAGAAATCTTCTGATTAAACGTGTCTATTTATTAAAACACATGCATGTATAAGGAATGGAAATATCTGAGATTCGAACACGAGTGCTAGCATCAGATTCATAATGAATATCTATCAGGGGGACGCCATCAAATGCAAGTGATGGTGCACATGGGAGGTGATGAAAATTTAAAGTTATCGAACCAGACCACCAGATGCACTTAGCCGTCTCTTACAACAAGCACAGGTAGCTGGGTGTCTTGCGTCCAACTCGGAAAGAGTGAGTGAGAGAGTATGGTTTTGCGCCGCTTTTAGCACTATTCCAGCAAGATCACGGCTGGGGACACCAGAAATGGGCTTCACACATTGTACCCATGTCGGGAATGGAACCAGGGTCTTCGGCGTGACGAGAGAACGCTTTAACCACTAGGCTACCCGACCGCCCCTACTCTGAAAGAACACCAACATTATCATATATTTCACAAAACAGGAACACTGAGTAAATGATAAACTGTCGATGTGAAATGTATGTCGGAAGGTTAAACCCTTTGTCTGGTAATGCAGGACCAACTCGTGAACACTCGGGGGCACGGGTGATCCAGTCGTCTAAGGCGCCACGATTCGCTGTGCAGAGTTGCGTCCTTTGAGCACGCCATAAACCTATGTTTGTGGATTCGAATCCTGCTTCGCCCCGATTATGTTTCCAGGTTTGTCAACACCATACCCGTGCTCGTGGGTTTCACCGATGTGGCAAACGTCTGAGACCTGCATCACTTCGGTCTTTCCTCCCACATTAAGCTGACACGCCGTGATATAACTGGAATACTGTTAAAAACGACGTTAAACCCAAATCACTCACTCACTCACTCACTCAATCGTGAACATGAGTCACAGTGATCACTTGCAGTGTGTCCAGCCTCCTTGACATTGTTTGATTAAAGCAGCAAGTACCGTGACGAGTCAAAACACGCCCCAGTGGCCTACCCTACACTCCCTGCTCTGTCTTCTGTGTGTGTCAAGCTGGAGCCAAGCTCTGTAATTGTATGACGTATGGTCTTGTCACAAATCTTATCGCGTGTCACGTGTTCATGTGTAGGTGATTCCCCTTATGAATTGTCCAGGTGAAACATGCAGGTACATCCTATAAGCTAACAAATCATGTTTTAGGAACCACTTGTGTGTCTGTTGTCAAACACTGGAGAGGTGTGGAAGCTGTTCACGTCAGTCAATATTGATGGACTATTGATTCGATCAGTGGTCTTCATAATGTTATTGTTTATATTCCATGACCGACGTTATTGGTTTACCTAATTTGTATTTTAGACGAGAATTTGATCCTATTGAAAAATGTCTTTGTCCTAGAAATTAATACATGCTGTCAACATACAGAAATTGACTTGTGTAAGGGAGATAACTGAGTCATGTAGCTCCAACATGCACTAATTAAAGGGGAACTGGGATGGCCCTTCGGGTGAAGCTTAACCCCGATACCCATAGTAATGAACATAGAGGCGCAAGCTTCACGCAACTGGGATACCATGACATGCATCAACCAAGTCAGCGAGCCTGACTACCCGATCCCGTTAGTCGATTCTTACGACAAGCATCGTCGCCTTTTAAGCATGGGTTGCTGAAGACCTATTCTTCACGGGTCGATTAATTAAGAAAGACAGCTGCTTGTGTGCTTTTACTTATAAAGTGAAAACAAGACATTTCGCCTATGGGGATTATTACTAACAGTAACCTCAATTTTCCAAATAAAAAACTGAGTTTTGATCACGTGGTTACAATCCGACTGAGGTGACTGCAAGCGGCTATATTAAGCAGCGCGTGCCCAGCACGAATTGAAAGAAAAGTTATATTTTAAGCGCTTTTGACCAAGATCACTGCTAAATATAACCACTCGCGGTCACCTGACTGTCAATTACAACCCGAATTGTAACATTTTCAAATATGTTTCTCTCGAAGAGTATACTTGTTGATGGCGCCACTGTGTATAAATAATTTAGGGTCATAGAACAGATCGGCGACGAGCATGCATCAGGTGCCTGAATTTGTGAGTAAATAGTTTACAGTTACTATGCAGGAATGTTCGGCTTATTTTTGAATATTTCTTATCAGAGTCATGGCCGTCAGACCGTCGACAACGTCAGTGATGGACACACAGCAGGGGGGAATGCAGGTCGGCGACAACAACAACATCTATTATAGCAACTGCCACATCACCAACATCACCCATGTCCACAACAATTGCAAACAGTGTCATCCAACAGAGGAACATGATGTGACACAAGGTAATGTCCCCATACAAAACTAAGGACGCGCTGTGACATTACAAAATGCTGGTCAAGTTGGCCGAACTCACTCAGTCAATACACAAGACGATGTATATGGGTTTTTACATACTAATATCAGAGAGGAAGTGGGGCTGTTCTCCAACAGAATGAATTCAGTTTAGTTCCCCAAAATGCTTATGCCTTCAGTGAAGTTAAATAAACTTTGATTACTTTTAAAAGTGAGACTGTATCATTACTTGTCATACACAAATTTGCACACTTACCTTTTATTTTGTATTCTAATTGAGTAATGCGTATTGCCTATCGTTTAGCAGCATGGGTTTGTTGGTTTAAAAAAGTAGCATTATATGTACGTGAATCGGTTTTGCAGATGCATCACGTGACGTCGACCTGAAATCAACTTCAACAGTGCACACGACTACCAGTGTGAGACTGGTAGACTGTGAGGGGAGAGAAGTGGAGCTGGGGAATGTGGTGTTTATTTACCAAAAAGGTGTTTTTTGTATCTATGCAGGTGAGATAGAATATCTTATAAAACTGCCTATATATCTCTAGTGGCGCTTTATTGACATACATGTAATGACACACTACAGACTAGTGACAATTGAGGTGTAGTGAAATTGAGTTTTAATGTCGCATTCAAGATTATTTCACATCTATTGATACATGCATGAACGCTGTGTGTACTAGGCCGGACTAATAAATGACGGTTTTACAGATTCAGCCAACTGAGATATCATGCTGCAGTCTAACATAAAAAAAACCACTCAGACACAGTACATGTATACTGACTCCAGTCTGACTAGTCCTTGTTTTTTTCCCTTAATGCCGGGCACCAGACAGGATACACTATTTTGATGTGACGAGGCCACGGGACAGTCACCGACCTTCCGCTCTCGGTGCAGATGATCTATCCACTAAACTATGGAGGTGGTCCACTCATAGAAAATGTCAAATTTTGATACCGAATATTGTGTATTACCTACCTTAATGGTGATTTAAAAAAAATAAAATCCCAAATAATCTGTGATCGATCTTTAGTGAAATAGCGTGATATGACCCACAAGCATCTGCTTGTAGAACTTTGTTACTGTTTGGATACATGACCCAGTGTTAACTGATATAGTTGAAACATCTTTTCCCCAGTGTGGTCGCTGTGGTATGTAAAACTGTGGGGGTGTTGAGGTAATATAATGCGGATGCAAACGTATTTCTGACAACAATCTCCACATTCGGTATGTACTACCTTGCTACTAATAATCACATAAATATAAATAAATATATAAATGTCAGAGATATCTCACTGCTTCATCCTGGACTAAATGAGCGTGTATTGTTCAGACTGTCAACAGCTTGAGACGGACAAACTTTGAATTCCAAATCGTTCGGAATACGGGAAAACCCTTTTCTCTATGTCCACAACACATGCGAACAAGTTGGGTATAGGGGTAGTTAAAGTAATTAAAGATATTGAAGTCTTATGTTAGTTTCCCCATTTAAGTACAGTGTGTGAAGATCAAGCGTAATGACTGATCATTAAGTCCTTTTATTGCATAAATACTGCTACAGTGTTGTAAAACCTCACTCACTATCATCAGTACATGCTTCTTAGTGTCAGAGGCTTGAATACAGTGATAGTAGTAATTTTAAGATAACCCTGTTTGATTCTCCGAGATCAAACTAGATGATTGTCTTTCTCAGTTACCTGATTCTACGAGACTATGTTACTATTACCAAGTATGCCAGTCTAAATGTATACGAGATATTTAGTTTCTAATATTTCACTCTCACAATAGTTGGTCACCCCTCCATGACTGTATGCAGTGTGTAGACACGTGACCTACCTCTAGGTGTGTATTGCAGGAGACGGGATGGTGATCATGCAGGATGAGGAGACTGGGAAGATCGTCCTAGAACAAATAAATGTGGAGGAGCCTTTCATTTCATTTCCATTTTTGTAAGTGCGACGATCACATGATGTATGCTGTTCACTTCAGTTGTGTAATCTACCTGATTGTATGCTCTGATTTAAGCAAGATCAACAAGTCTTAGACATCAAAATTCTTCTTCAATATTGCATTCAGCGGCGCTGTATATGGTGTTTATGATTTTCATTGAGTTTCTATTACTCTGTATGCTAGATAGATCGGGCCTGTTAAACTATATGACAAACTGCATGCGTTACAGGCAATGTGAAACTGGTGTTATTCTTAATTACTTTTAATGTCAACCTTGTGAAAATTGTTAATCTGTCTTCTTGACAGCTATGGGTGTACTTTCATGTAACGCTCGCATAGCTATCTTATCTGTTCCTTTGAATGGAGATCAGTCCCCAAATATTAATCAAATTAATCCCACTTTGAAACACATCACACAATGGGAAATGTTTTACAAAAAAACATATTTATTTCTTCTTGTACCATTATCAAAAATATGCACACGAATACCCCTTGCTCTCTGACTAATATCAAGGTTTGTATGATTGAATACATAATCAATATAATGAGTACATTATTTTGCCATGGCAAGTATTGTAAGATGATGTAATGATAAGTCCGAATGAATGTTCCATCGCTGCTTTGAACAGTATGATCGTTGCATGTCAGTTTCATGTGGACGGTCAGCCTAAGGTGACGGAGCTGATTGTAAAGCATTGGCAATCCTTGTTCCCAGGTAATAGGTTGATGTTCAAGGGTCATCCAAAACTATCTTTATATCCGTAACAATATGAAATACGCCTAATCATATAATTATCATCATATCTTACGTGATTGTGTAAGAATGTTACATTGTGTTTTGTCAGTACATCTGTAGGAATATATTTGTTCTGTTATGTTAGTATCTATTAACCGCCTGTAGTCTAAATGCAACAATGTTGGAGTCATTGATAGAAGCAGAATAATATTCAGATATTTATTAACTGTTATTAAAGTATTTTGTTTGTTTGAAGGCATCAATGTTGGATTGCTTAACAAAGGCAGGATAATATTTTGGTATTTATTCTAGCATCATGCATGCTGAATATTACATCAGTTTGTCATGATGTTGAATGTTGTCCATCACAAAATACAATACTACTAATCAGTACGCGTACAACGTTGTACATAATCAACGTATGGCCAAATATAAACATTGTGTGTACTATGACGTCTTTGATATACACATTCATGCAAAGGTTAATCAATGGTCAGGTATCCGAACAGTGAATCTGAGAAATGCCGAGTAACAGACCCAGAGGTCCCTGCGCTAGGTGTGGAGACGTCTACCGGCAGTGTCTTTATATGATACTGTCGCCTGTACCCTCTTATTTCAGGCCTTTCTTGTTAACTCCAAATTGTAAAGGTCTACTGCCTGTATCAGTTTCATTTATTTCCCCAGACATATACTAACAAGTATCTTTAATAGATATTATTATCATATGCATAATATCAGAGTAATGTATACACTAACGGGAGATTGTATATATTTTCTAAGTAAATATGTTTCAGCAAATTAAGGAATACACACGTTTTCCCATGGCAGTGCCTCATAATAACAATCGATCTTTCTCCTGGCTGTGGTCCGTTTGACTTGAAGAACAATATTGATTGAAGCGGCAGTAAAGTATTAAGTGAACGTCACACAAGTCGTACATTTACTGTTGCCCACATAAGCAGTCAATTCTCAGTGTTGTATATATTGGTCTCAATTCACAGGTAGAATGTATATAAAAATACCCTGACAGTATGTAATTAGTGACATGTTGAGCTACAGCTGTAATCTATGCCGCACATGTTCACAGATAATCAGTAGATGGGCATGGTTTGGTTATGTTATGGACACAACTCTTACATGGAGGGCAGAAGACAGGGAGGGGAAACAACCTTACAACATGTGTGTACATGTACTCACTCCGTACTGTATTTCAGATTGGCGCAGAAGTACAGCGGGAGACAGGCGCTACAGAGAGCCAAGGGGAAGGTCGGCCAGGTGTTTGATGGTGATTACTTGGACTTTGTGTGTTGGTGCCGCTCGGACATGACATATGCAGAGGTAGGAGGGCCAGGAGTCACTCTGATCCCACTCATGGCTGACTTTATACTGACTTATGTTGGAGAGTGGGCCTAACGTGGATGGTGTTGATAAATATGCTGCAACTATACCATCACTACACAACCTGTGTCCCAATGTTCATACTCATACACTGTCAGTGGTTTCATTTGTACCACCCCTCAACCTGTGTCCCTCTGTTTATACACATATCTATATTGGTTTCATTTGTACCACCCCTCTACCTGTGTCCCTCTGTTTATACACATATCTATATTGGTTTCATTTGTACCACCCCTCTACCTGTGTCACTATGTTTATACACATAATATTATCTATATTGGTTTCATCTGTACAAAACTCTCTACCTGTGTCACTATGTTTATACACATATCTATATTAGTTTGTTTTGTACCACCCCTCTACCTGTGTCTCTCTGTTTATATACATATCTATATTGGTTTCATTTGTACGAACTCTCTACTTGTGTCACTCTGTTTATATAGATATCTATTTTTAGTTTCATTTGTACCACCCCTCTACCTGTGTCCCTCTGTTTATACACATATCTATATTGGTTTCATTTGTACCACCCCTCTACCTGTGTCCCTCTGTTTATATACATATCTATATTGGTTTCATTTGTACCACCCCTCTACCTGTGTACCTGTGTCCCTATGTTTACAGGGGCGGTGGGGTAGCCTAGTGGTTAAAGCGTTGGCTCGTCACGTCGAAGACCCAGGTTCGATTCCCCATATGGGTATAATGTGTGAAGCCAATTTTCCGGTGTCCCCCGCCGTGATATTGCTGGAATATTGCTAAAAGCGGCGTTAATCCATACTCTCTCACTCACTCACACCCTATGTTTATACACGCATTTTTGGGGGGTTCACTAGAATCACTACTCTTGGGGGATTAAAACCAAATAATATGAATGATGATTGCTTTATTACCATTTAAATCCAAAGGACACCTTTACAACGTGATATTTTTGATATTGTACTTCTGTGTTCTGACACCGAAGAAAAATTAGATTCAGCGATTCAGTTAATTTCTTTACATGCAGCCTCTCAAATAGAGCAGTGTGTCCCTTAACTTCCTTTAATGTAGTAGAATATAATGACAGTTTTACATTTCAGTTCAGTTTCAAGAAAAGTTGTAACCATATTTGAATGATGATGCTTCGTGTATCGTGGAGGCCGCATAGTTCTTTGTTGTGCTACCATCTCGATATATATTTTAGCTACGATGCTGTCAATACCTGCATTACATATACGTGGGTTTGCTGTTTCAGTTGAGGAATACACACTCTACAGCTGCACTACAACGCAGAGGTCCTTTACGTTAGTGAGCCAAGTTTCTTCGTTGCTTCGCCAAACGGTGGTCACTGAATGCTGACCACAGATGATTTCCGTATCTGATCACTTAACAACTCTGACGCTGACCACTGACAGGCAACACCTGACATACTGATGACGACCTCCAGTGATTTGGCTCATAAGGAATGAGGCATTTAATCTGACACACAATGGACATGTATATTGGATGGTTCTACGATAATTGTGTATATTACTATATCTAACCGGGTTTTCTGAATTCTATGAATTTATCTAACTTGTACAGAAGTTATTCATGTCGAGTAGACGGTGTGACTCCGTCAGTCCGCACACCTATCAATTTAGAAAGATAAAGTTTGATGACTTTTCTATTCATCATTGTCAATTCATTATGTCCCATTATTCAATATCAATGTATTTTCGGTTTTTATCGTGTACATAGATCTGTGTCCAAACTTGCTTCATGCAGATCGCTTCCGTGGACTTGTGGATAGAGAGCGTCTGCCTGGAGAGTTGAAGGTCGGTGGTTCGATCACAGGTCGCGTGATACCAAAAGAACGTTAAAACTTGTTATTACCCTGCCTTGTGCTAGGCATTAGGGGATAAGAACTGGTCAGCTCGCAGTCAGTATGCTGTGTTTTATTGGCGTAATGATTTTGCATGGTATCTCAGTGGGCTAGCACTATATATAAAACCGGCATCATTCTTGACTTGTACAAAGCCTGCACTAGACATGTCGCTGTATAAGTGCAATGATCTTGAAGGCGACGATTAGTCCAATTTCACCTCACCCAAACTCTTGCTTCATGCTCAAGATCAAGCGTTATTGTTATACTGAAAGGCAGAAACATGCTCGGTAGCATCTACGTAAACATCCCTTTACTGAATCCTGGATGACTATTTCATGTTTCATGACGGCAGCGAAATGCCGTTGTAACACCGAAATCGCTATGAGGAAATATGATTAATTGGTGCAAAATTTTAGAATCAATGTTTGTGTCGTTGTGCAAAACATGGAAAGGATGTATCATACACTCTACGACAAAGCAAATTACATTTATATATCATTTCAGCAAAATCGTGTCACTGGATTGTCTTGTCCAGAGATCACATTGTTTACAGACAACTGTCGCATGGCCGGAGTACTGCTGTGTGTCCCCAGGAACACATATTTGTTGTTTTTTAATGCACATTATGTGAGTGGCGCATCACCAACTGGTACAGCAGTAGAGGAGGAAACATTTGAAATTTAGGAGAAGTCGTGAGTCTTTTGTTAGACACAGAACATATTTATGTCCGGCTCATGTTTTCTCTTTTTGTAATTCACGTGGACAGTATTTCTATGAAGTGACAATGGGATTTTGTTTGTTTAAAGAGCCATAAACGTTGCGTCCACACTGCAAATCCGCGGGCGCACCGGTCTCCTACATTTATAGATCCATCAAACAAAACCAATATTGAAGTCAATTCTTATAAATAAGTCAACAATGATAACTGTTCAGACAGCCAATTTAATCACGTAGAATAACACAAAAACTGTAGCTGACAGTGATATGAAATCATGAGATATCGCCCAGCGCATAATGTCGCTCCGGAAATGGTTCTGATGAAATTCCAGTATATTTATATGGTCACTGTGTTGTTTATCCTGACCTCTGAGGTATTTGTTTCGTATTTTAATGTAAGATATCGGCTGTGATGAGGTAGACTGCTTATTCGAAAATTTGCCGCATCGGATTTTCATGACTGCTGTGTTGTAATTATTATTTCAATTTGAAAACAAATAAACATTATATCTTTTCTTTGATTTATGTTTTTAACATGGGTGATTCATCTGTTCGTCACATGTAAATTTTGTTCCCTCATTATTCTCAAACGATTTTATCAAGATGTGCCAACATGTTGACAGCAAAACTTATTTT